TAGTATTAGTCGACTCTCGGCTTTCAATTCGTCAAATTAAATATTACCAATGACAAAAACTTGAGATGTCGCATCTCCTTCATTCTCTTTATCCATATCCTAGCTTTAGGCAAACTCAAGACTCTTTGCTTAGTCTCTTTGCCCTAAATTAAACAATCAAATCTAAATTATATATTTAATTATTTATTTCAAATGTAATTAATTGCATATTCGATAATACCGATTGGGATACCGAAGTACCAATTGGGATACCGGAATATTTAGGGATTGAGATTGAGATATCGAAATTATTTAGGGATTGATATTGGGATTGACTTTCGGGTATAATTCGGTATTCGGGATTTCGGTATTTGGTATTGGGATACCAGTACCGTACCGATTTCCACCCCTACTTGCAGCGACGTCCACGGACCACTCAATTAGGGTAGGCATATGGGTAGGGGTGTACATGGTCTGGTGGTCCGGGTTTACCCATTTTAATCACCCGTCCCATGCACTATAGTTTAAGAAATATTAAACCCAAACCCACCAAAAAATATTAAAACCCTACGGTTTGTTTATAATTTGGTTGGGTCAGGTTGGTGATATTTTTAAGTAAAAACCCAACCCAACATAAATATGTAATTATTCTACACTATAAAAATATTTTATAACTAATTAAAATTTCAAATGAATAAACCGAGGTGAAAGGTATCAAAATCACAAATAGTGTTTGAATTTTAATAAAATGTGATTTATTTCAACATATGTCTAATTTTTTTCACGACATTTGTTGAAATAGGTGATAGACCAATAATTACACATGTTTATACCCCTATTCTTGAGCCGTTTGAGATGTTGATTCTCGTGTTTTAAGCCGATTTTATGCTAGGTTGTGCGTTTTTGCGAGTGGGAGTTGGGTTTTGGATCCCAAACACCCAAGGGACGAACCAAAGAGAGAGAGAGGGCAATTTGAGGGCATTCTTGGAGTGGAGTTGGAGGATTTCTTCGCCTTGGAAGCTCGAGGAACAAGCCCGGACTTGAAGACTGATCATCTGAAGATTCTTACTACAGTCTCTCTCTTCTCTATGGAGTAACTTCCCTTCACTTAGGTTTTGAGGAACCCTAGTTATGTTTGTTTATTTGGATGATTTATGAGTACTCTTACTTGATAATCTTGAGTTCATACTCAATCTATGCAAGTTTTCATGATTCAATTCTGCTTTAGTCGAGATTATTGATTCTGCTTTGATCCTATGAGAGCGAATACCTGATTAGGTCAATAGAGCACCATAGATTGATAGTAGTGGATCGATTGCTTTAGTCGAGGGTTGATTCACTGCTTTGTATCGATTGAGAACCTCTTTCGATAGAGGGATTCTAGTTCAGAACGCCTTGATCGGTTGTTGTAGAGAAGGATACGTCCCTCTAGGCAATTGACTCAAGAGGGCCTTGTTCCTTTAGTCGAGACTCAAGGTCTAGTCAAGGATTCTCCGCATTGTGAATGAAAGTGAAACAGGTTAGAGATCATCAATCATTAATCTGGCTAGTGGCTAGGGGGAATCATACCTAAGTGAGTTCCCAACCTGTAATTAGATTAACTTTAACTGTAGTTTGCTAGAGTAGTTTTAGTTCTTTCATCTTAATCTGGTTTGCTAGATAATGAACTGAAGCCGAGTAATAGGAACTCTAGAGACCCGTGGATTCGATATTTATTACTTGAGCCACTATACTGCAGTCCCTTTCATTGGTTACATTTGGCCTTTGTTAGGAGTTGTGTCATAGCGAGTCAATAGGCTAAAAGTGTTATAAACGAACGTATCCATAATATGTTATTCTATTAAAATTGCACACATGAAAAAGAATTACATGAATCATAGCTATATTAAATCTATGTCTAAACTTTAAGCCTAAGAACGCATTTGATTAGGAAGACCATGAGAGAAAAACATGGCGAAATATTTTAATTTTGTCATAAGTATGGTTATATACCACATAAATATTTTTTGGGTACGAACTCATACTAATAGTTGGAACACGGATTGGGTCGGGTTCTATGGGTTGTGTAATCCAAAATCCAAACCCAACCCTAAAAAGGCGGGTTGTACAAAAGAAAACCCTCACCCAACCCAAAACCTTAGTTTTAGCGATAAATACGGGTGGCTTGGATCGAGTTGGACAGATGGGTCGGTTTGCGGGTGTGTTTGTTAACTCATACATATGGGTAGGTAACCCGCGGTTTGATAACGGCCTATACGCAAAGAACTCAAATTGACTGCAGTGGATGTACGATTAATGTGGATAGAGGTGGATCAATAAATTTCCTACCCGCACTTATCGGGGTGGATGATAGGTGTGTTACGAGTTCCCCCGAATGACTCGCACCCATCTTACGTGGAAAATATGTTTCTTATTTATAGTAACATATAGTCGTTGTATTTCTTAACCAACACTACACACTAACCATCAACTTTTATAAGCGAAAAATAAATAATATTTTCGACTACCGCTATTGATCACTATATTGTGTAATATTGAAATGAAAATTATAAGCTATTAATTTTTATTAAGTCACTGGAAAAAGTGAACTTTCCCTACAAACTAACTGTCACCCACCCAACCCAATCCAAAGTTGTGTGTGGATTGCGGATCAAAATCATACCAACTCGTTAGTAAGCAGTTTGATCAATTTAAAAGAGAAATCCACCCAACCCATCCATTGGCCACCCTTACCCTAAATGGTCTTTTTTCGCTTTTCTAAAGTCTCCGATCCCCATTTCAGTTTAGAATCTGTTTTTCACAACCACTATCACATATCGTAATTTCTTTTTCCCTCGAGTATTACCACTACAGCCTACAGGTACAGAGCGCAAACCAAGTATTGTAAAACAATATTGAAGTTTATATCAGAAAAATCAATAATATATTTTATATATAAAATTAATGATTTAATTGTGGTTTAACCATTTTATACCACAAAAATCACTTATAAACGGACTAATACTATAAACGAGGGATGGCAACATAACCCGAACCCACGGGTACTCTACTCGACCCAACCTGGTCAACGTGGATAAACCCGCATTGATGGATTATGGGTCGGCCGGGTTCGGGTTTAAACTTGTTTTCTGTTTTGAGGGTTGGATTGAACTCGGGTTTAGCTATATCCAACCCGTACCCGTCCCTAACCACGAAACCCTTACCCACTTCTCATTCGGTCATTCCCCATACTAATTCCTAACCCTAATTCCAAAAAGAAAAGAAACCACCCCACCCCTATAGCCATTCGACCTCGATGCTACCATTAATGATGACCAATATCCAGATTATGCTTCATGCGTTACCGGTATATTTCATAGAGCACTTCTACTATGCTATAAAGTATTGGTGTTTTAATGTATAACTTTAAGTTGTACCATAACATTAAATGTATAAATTCAGGTTGTACCATAAAGGAATTTATACTTTTATGTTATGGTACAACTTTAAGTTTTAAAGTTGTACCGTCACATAAAGTACATGTTCAAGTTGTACCATAAAAAAATTTCTATAAAGAGTATAGGTATAATTTGAAGTTGTACCATAACATTAAAGGTACAACTTTAAGTTGTACCATAAAGGCAAAAAGCTATAGCACCAATACTATATAGCATTGTAAAATTCCTCATATTTCATATTCTAAACACTATGTATATCTTCCTTGAGCAATTAATTTTCCTTATGTTTGTAGAGACATGCCTAATTTGTTTTTTCCTAATTGTGTAGAATGAAGTTTATATTATGGAATGGAGAGTGAATGGTCCATGCTAATTACGAGGTGGCCCTTCCTTGTCTTAATCCATACTAATTAATGGTCCATATTAATTAAGGATGAAGAGCTTAAATTTGGGTTATGTTAATTTGGATTATCCCCAAAAAAGCAATACTACTAATCCTAAGTAGTACATCCAGAGACGCTGGGCTGATAAATTGAATTTGCTTCCATTATACTGGGTTCCTATCAATGGTTGGTTGCACTGGGCCTTTGCATGTTTTCCCTATGACTGACCGCATAGAATGACATAATGGAACTTCTGGAGAGCATTATGTTACGTTAATCTTTCCATCTTGGTTTGATCCATTTCGTGATAAAATTAGTCTTCTTATCATTGGTTTGAGATTGAGCCTGCAAAAGGTCATGTATACATTCTCATATATGAACGTTCCTTTCAGAACGCATATCCATTACAAAAACATATATTACGAAAAGTAGATGGTCATTGGTCAAGAGTACATCATCACCATGAAATCCATGTCAGACACGAAGAAAAAGAATAGAGGATTGTGTGAATTACCGAATCGCTCTTCCTTGTCCTTATCCAAACTAATTAATGGTCTATATTAATTAAGGACGAACAACTGAAATTTAGGTTATATAGATTTGGATTATGCACGAAGTTTGCTAGCATTTTCACCCATGTTATGTCATATGGTCGTACTCCCACTAATGCCATGTGATATGGTTGTACTCTGAGTAATTAATATTTGAGTTGCAACTCTTGTACCCTCCACCCCATTAAATATATATGGTTCATGGCAGCGTACGATTATACGTCTGCGTTCACATTATCGTATGTTCGTCGATTTTTACTATTTAGAGTTTAGACTACACATTAATCGGAGTTTGGGATATAATACTATACACTAACCTCAAATAGGTGAACCCCAACACCTAATTCTCTAGCCCGAACAATAAAATTTATTCAATCTAAATAAAAATAATTGACGGTTCAGATTTATCGAGTTATATCAAAGTACAAATAACACGTGTGAATGCAGGCAGGCGTACCATCCATTTCCATTATATATAAAAAAAAATCAGCAAAAGGGAAGGGGAAAAAAAAAGTTGCCTTCGATTGGGCAACGCAACCTGGAGCCTAATATAATTCTCCAGCCAAAACATGACCACCTTCTCTCCCAACTAAGTCGTTACTCTTGCCTTCCTTCCCTATATAATGCCGTTTCCATATGACAAGTTGTACTACGACCTGTGTTCTTGTGGCTAATCATCAAATTCTTTGGTTTCCAAAATTTTGGTGCACGAAATCATGTCGACCGCAGATGGAGTCTGGAAGGCACAACCAGCTACCATCATGGCTATCGGAACTGCTAATCCTCCCAATTGCTTTCTTCAGGCCACTTTCCCTGACTGCTATTTTCGCGCCACCAACAACCAGCACCAATCGGAGCTCAAGGCCAAGTTCGAACGCATCTGTAAGAACTAGGGGATTTTTTTATTTTTTTTTTACAACGTATTGGTTGTTAGAGGAATTATTTAGGTGCCCATGATGCATGTATTTATTCACCCTTACATATATATACATATATATATGCTTGTATGTATTTTATGCGTTTAAGACTTTCGTATCCGTATGATCGTCAAATCGTTTCATTTTTCCGTTCATTTTGTCCCTCCAGTACTAAAATATGTATAAAATGAGTATAACACACTTAATATTCGAATTTAATGAATTAAATTACTAATTAAATTATTATTTATATATTAATTTATATTTAAAATAATTAATTTCATATATGTTGTAACTATTGACGTACTATCAAACATATCATTAATTTAGATACTACATAAAATATCCGTATGTATTTTATGCGTAAATCACTCTTACCCTATTTTAAATACCCTATTTTAATTCATATACTTCTCCAACTGGAATTTTTTTAGTTGGATTTGTTTTTAATTTGGAAAGTTTATTTAGTATTTCTTGTAGAAATAAAAAAATTTTGACGAACCAGTTTTTTCTTTCTTCTAAAAAAGTATATAAAAAAAATCTGCGTTCTTTAAAATTTTTTAAAATTCGAAAAGAATTTTTTTTCTGAATATGCTATTATTTTTTTCCCCTCTTCATAGATGTATGTGCAGGATTTGATTTGAGTTTGTGAAAAATTAATTATTGGCATTGAGGTAGGGGTGGGCATTCGGTCGGTTCGGTTCAAACCGAACCAGAATTATGCATACCGGGTCTCCGAATTTTATCAAAACTTAAACCGAATTCGAACTGAATTATAATTCGGTTCGGTTTTTCATGTAAAATCGAACTTGTGAGGCTAACTTGTATCTTCTCACTTTTAAATTATTTTTCACCCCTAATGGAAACAATAAATATGCATCATCAATGATAAAATCAAACATTTCAACACATAAGTCATAAAACACTAACATGATTCAAATATTTAAGTCTCATGATAAGTAGAAACATAAAAAGCCATCATTTGAAACTTGCAATTATAATAATTCGATTTTTCGGTTTGGAATTCGAAAATTCGGTTCAGTCGAAAGAACTCTGATTTCCGAAATATGCCCTTTTCTCTTCCGAATTCCGAAACGAATAATATTAATTCGGTTTCGGTTCGGTTTAATATATGTTTTCTTTTCCGAATTCCCACCCCTACATTGAGGTCAAACATAAAATGAGGTGAGTGTTTTCATTCTCACATTATCGGTTCTTCTGCTAATTTTTCTTATCGTTAAGCTCACTAAAATAGCTAAATTGTGCCCAGCCGCTACATTTCTGTAGGATATTTCTGATATTTCTTTAAGTTTCTGGAGCTCAGGTTTAATATTCCATTTCATGTTAATTAAACATGCAATTTTCAGGAATTTGAGAGATAAACCTTTATTACTCGTGTTTATAAAAAAAATGACTTTCTTAATTAGTTGTTAACATGTTGTACTTAATCCAATCTATAGTAAGAATTTACCTATACTTTCGTAACATCCATATTCAAATGTCAAACTTAGAAATCCAAATATGGATTATGCGAAAAGAAAAACCAGAAAAGAAGTGTATTTCGCAAACCAAATGAAAAAACAACGCAGTGTTACCTCCAACCAATAAAACTGCAGAGGGTCAACCCCAGGGTGAGTGCGGTCTATTCTTATCAACGGGTCAGGGTAAATAATGATACAACTGGCGGGTCGAAACACGACTTTCAACATTGTGTACGACAAGATACCACCCATATACTACGTGGTATGAGATGGTATTTTTTGGTCTTGTATTTTTTATCCAAAAGTTTATAGATCCTTTAGATCATGATGATATGATCTAAAACGACTTAAAAACGAAGAAGATACCATATGATATGGAGTTGGTAACGAGAGGTATGACACTTTGTCCTCAAAAAATATTGAAAATAGATCTCATTTTGTAGACACAACGAACTCGTTCCATCTGTGAAAAAAAAATTAAAATCCAAATTAAAACGAAGAAGATAAGAGCTTATTAATAAAATTAGAGAAAATAAAAAGGCTATAATTTTCAACTTTTAGATTTAGACCTTCTGTGTCCACTCTGAACTAAGGGACAGATTTGGTTATGTAAAGGTTATTCAACCTATTCTCAGCTGGATAGATAGCTCACTTGAAATTTATCCATTCTCTCCCACCAACAAATTTTCATCCCTAGACTCATATACTTTGCATAATTTTTAAAACTTCCAAAAAATGTTTTTTGTTTAATCCAAATGAGCCCTAGTTCCTGTTTTTTTTTTTTTTTTGTACGGCACTAGTTGCTGTTTAAACATTCAATTGGTTTTATTTTTGGGTTAATACCTTATTTTGGCTTGAACTATGACCATGTTATCAATTTTGGCTCGTGGTTTCAGAATTAACATCCTAGCCTCAACTATGTAATATATAGACTCAATTAGCCCGACACAGAGTTTGACCGTCCATTTGGATGACCAACACCATTGACCGTTAGTCAACATGCCATGTCATTACCTCGTCAGCCTAAAAATCATTAAAAAATTCAAATTCTAATTATTTTTCTAATTTTTATTATTTATTATCAAATTAACCAAAAATATATTATAAAAAACATAAATAAATTTAATTTTTGGGTCATTTGGAAATGATTAATTTTATAAATTAACAAAAAATTATCAAATTATTTATATTTTTAAAATTATCCAAAAATAAAATATATAATTTATATCATATTTTTAAATTTATAAAATTTAATTTTATAATTTTTGGTTAATTTAAAATTTATCAATTTCAAATATCCCAAAAAATAAAATGTAAATTTTATTTATATTTTTAAAATTTAAATTTTGGTTAATTTTAAAATGATAAATAATAGAAATTATGAAAATAATTTGAATTTAATTTTTTTTAAAGAATTTTAAGCTGGCAAGGCAATGACATGGCGTGTTGACCGTCCATATTGATGGTCAAACCATGTGTCGGGCCAATTGAGTCTATATGCTGCATAGTTGAGGTCATGATGTTAATTTCTGAAACCACGTGTCAAAGTTGATTATATGATCATAGTTCGGGCCAAAATAAGGTAGTAACCCTTTATTTTTCTAAGTCAAAATTTTTATTCGGTAAAATTATTTTTAACTAGTGATTTTATTTTATTTTATGAATGACTACTAATGATTATAACAATCATCTTTACAAGTGCTTTTATGTTCAGAGGCATGGACATACTTATGAAATTATCACTAGTTTGACAAACAACAAGTAGCACAAAATTACTTCCAACTCATACATAAATTGTTAAAATGTTCCCAAAATAATTTAAGCACATGAATTGATTGATTATAAATAATATAAAATATAAAATTAAAACTCATACGACCAATGCGGTAAAGGTAAAAACTAGCTAGCTTCATAGAATAATCGTATGTAATGGTTTGTAAGATACTGGTACGTACCATGTAATTCAATAATAAAATAATGAACTCACTCTTGTCTACTTACTCGATCGCTCTGATTGAAATGAATTAATTTGCTATTACATTACAGGTGAAAAGTCGATGATCAAGAAACGTTACTTGCACATGACCGAAGAGCTTGTCCTAAAAAACCCCAACCTAGCTTCTTACATGGCTTCCTCGCTGGACGAGCGACAGGATATGGTTGTGGCAGAGGTCCCAAAGCTTGGCGAAGCAGCAGCCATAAAAGCCATCAAGGAATGGGGACGGCCGCAGTCCGAAATCACCCACCTGATTTTCAGCACCAGCACGTGTGGGAACATGCCTGGGGCCGATTACCAGTTGATCAAGCTCTTGGGCCTCAGCCTTTGTATCAACCGTTTTATGATATACCAACAAGGCTGCTTTGGTGGTGGCACTGGGCTCCGCCTTGCCAAGGATCTGGCGGAGAACAACAGAGGTGCCAGAGTCCTAGTCGTTTGGTCCGAAATAACCACCATAAGCTTCCGTGGGCCACCCAACGGATCGGAGGATGTGTCAACCCTCGTGGGCCAGGCCTTGTTTGGGGATGGTGCCGCTGCAGTCATCGTGGGCTCGCATCCGATCTGCAGAGTAGAGAAAGCCTTGTTCGAGGTAGTCTCCGCGGGCCAGACTACCGTGCCTGGTTCAGATGGTGCGATAGTTGGACGCACCCGTGAAGCTGGCCTGGTGTATCACTTGTCCAAGAGTCTCTCGGATCTCGTGGCCCAAAACATCGAGACGTGTCTGGCCGAGGCTTTCAAATCTCATGGCATATCCAACTGGAACTCCATCTTTTGGGCAGTCCATCCAGGCGGGCCTAAGATTCTGGACAAGATTGAGGCTCGGCTGTCGCTCCAACCTAAGAAACTACGGGCCACAAGGCATGTGCTGGCCGAGTATGGGAATATGTGGAGTGGTAGTGTGATCTTTGTACTGGATGAGATCAGAAAGAATTTGGCCCAAGATGTTTTGAAGACCTCAGGATGGGGTGTCCTTCTTGGATTTGGGCCAGGGCTCACTATTGAGACCGTGGTTCTACGTAACGTCATTGCCTGACGGCTACACGTGCCGAGCTTCATCCCCCTTATGACAAGGACTGCATGTAGTGTCATTTCATGTATTATTATTATTATTTTGTTGGTTTTGTTTGGCTGATTTTCCGCATGCTGTTGTTCTTCTTGTGAGTTCTTCCTGTTTTTCCAATGCTTGTCTAAAAAATAAATAAAAATAGTTTGGTTATTATTCTCGTGTCTTTCATGCGCGTCCCGTGTTTAAAGAGTTTGGTTTTCGAAGATATAATAAAGACAAAGATAATCACAAAGAATGTCGATTGTCACTTGTTTCACGCTCTTAAAAAAAAATGTTTGGATGCGTGTGCTTGATGAATTTAGAAGAACACATACAATTACTTCAACCACTATGGAGATTGGTTGATAGATAGCCAACTAAGTCTACTACTACGATTACTACAACTACGCAAAAGAGATTTTGTATATGGATAAGTTGTAAATACTACATAGAGGAAGATGAAATTCGACAAATATGTCTTAAGTGTTCAATTTTTTGTTAAGATATTGTAGGCGTGTATCTCTTGCAGCCGTCGAACTAACCGCCCTATTTTGTCCCCGTCATTCTACACTTCTCTGAGTCGTTTAAACAAACTCTTGTGTTCTTCCCATTTATACGTGTGAAACTCACATGCGCAAAATTGCTTGGGTAAGTCTACCACTATGATTACTGCAACTCTGCAATGAAGAGTTTAAACAGAAGTTCAAAGATTACTCTGTAAAGAGAAAGATAAAATTCAACAAAGGAATCTTGTGATAAGGGATCTTCCTAATTTAATTCATTTGTATTCAATTAATGTAATTAGTTTAGTTAGTAGCTAGCTTGTTACTCTTTTGTAGCTACGTACGTTTCTGTTGAAGAGCCGATACTTCAACCACTCACCAAACTGATGCAATTACCACATTCAATCACTTACATGGTATTAGAGTTGCCGTTCTGATCTCTTTAATCCTAATCCATGTCTTCTCTCTCTCTCAATTTCTCTTTCTTCTTCCCAGCTGTGCACGGTGACCTCATCACTTCACCAATATGACCAGTAACACCAGTGAATCTATCATCAACACTGATGATGCCAATACCATAATCACAATGAACCAGACATCCCACCTTCCTACCAAACTCACCGGCAAAAACTTTCCCACATGGCGTGACAACACAATGAGGATCTTGTCGACTAAAGAGGTCTAAACACTTCACGCATGCACCAAGGGACTCTTAATAAAACATGAAAAGCAATGGAATCCATGGTGGTGCTCCAAATTTTTTTTTTTATTTCAAAAGATGACTCAAACTTTCGAGTCTCAACTTAACATTTATGCACATGGCACCACACTTGAATTTTGCAAAAAAGGCTTCTCTCCCTCGTGGCTAAGAGCAAAAGTACATTGAATTCTCTTTTTTAGCCTCATGTGGGGAAGTGATGGTTGAGAGGATGAAATAGTGAAGTAGGTGAAGGGTTGAACGTGAGTCCTTTATCTCAAGCAGCAATTCCCAAGATTTTTCCTATCTGACTCTCTGCTGTGCCAGTTGATTTTGTGAACTAGTGGATTTAGGACCGTTGATTCATGTGGTATTGATGACTCTCCTTATGTTGTGTTGTGGACTCTGTATCAAAAAAAGGTGGTCAATTGTGTGATATGAAAAAGGTGGTCAATTGTGTGAAATGAAAAAGCAGTTGGTCCTCCATGTCAAAACTTTGAAATTTTAAGACATGGGGTAAGCCCAACGTGTGTGGCACCATTCATTGCACAAAATCGGGTTTGGAAGAGATTTTAGTGATCCTTAGTGGGGTAAGGCCTACAAAGTGAAACTAAGCCGTCTCTAGTACAAGTAAAAGTTTCACCCGTTAAACAGTTTGCCTACTTGAGTATGTGTTTAAAAGGCACGGATAGAGTTTTCGACACCCCTTAATTTCATTGACCCTCTACACGAAGTGAGGAAAATGAGTTAATAGAAGTACTCTAGCGAGCGACAGATGTGCAGAAATTGTTATTGCTCACCTAACAAGGGTCGACCGCGCATAAAAACTACAGTTGGAACCTCAGCAAAGTAAAACAAAAGAAAAAGAGTCACATAATAAGGAAAAGGGGTTCCAACAAGTGAGATGAAATGAAAGAGCACCCGATACAAAGAGTCATTGGTCGTTAAATTGTGTGAGTCTTCTTATCCATGAATTTGCTGTCTTAGTTCCACTGTTGCTCATGATCCTGGTTTTAGTCTAGTACTCGTATTGAGAGAGATAGGGGACGTCTTAGAAGACCAGTTGACCTCGTAAGTTGCTACATGATCTAGGAAGTCCTCTGCTGACGATCGGGGGTTGCATGTTGCTATAAAGGTCGGGAGAGCTGCATTGGTTTGAGTCAGGTTTGGTTGGGGACAAGCAAACGGTTAAGTGTGGGGGAATTTGATAACTCGATATTTGCACACGTTTTTGTCCACCATTCTTATACTGTTTGAGCCTCATTTCTGGTGTTTTAAACCGATTTCATGCTAGGATGTTCTTATTTTTGATATTTCAGATCCTAGTACATGAATGAAGGCTTGGGCACGAGTTCCAGGTCAATTGGACAATGTTTGGACAGCTAATGGAAAGAAAAGGAAGCCACACGGCCTGACCATATTGTCACACGACCGTGTGACTTGGCCACGCGATACCCTTTTGCGCGGTTAAGGAGGTACGGGTCGTGCAAGTACCCCTTTTGACCAAGTGAGATTTCTAGGGACTTCACAGGGGCTGGCTGGATTTCCATGCGGCTGTGCAGCGCACCACAAGTCACTAAATCGAACGATGCTTTTTGTAGAGTTACACGGGCACGTAGGGATTTTCACACGGCCGTGTGGCCTGGCCTTGTGGTCGTGAATTTCTGGGTTTTAACCCAATTTCGGGTCTTTAAGAGAGGGATCGAATTTTCAGAGCAAAAACTGGGTAATCTGTCTAAGAGAGCTTGTTCAGCTTAAGAGATTCCAACCAAAGGACATTACAATTTGAACCTAACTAAGGAGCTAGGGGGACTCAATCCCGTGTGACTTTTCCCTTGCTTAAGAACTTCGAACAACTTACTGTTTTCTTTCTTCTTTAGTTTAGAACTCATTTTCACTAAACTTAGTCCTGCTAGATAATAGATAATCACGGAGTAGGCAGTACATCTAGGCCCTAGGTTGATATTTATTACTTGATTCCACTATTCTGCATTTCCAATCTGCGATTACACTTTGTCACAGTTTAGTGTTTTGTCGTAACGTGTCAATATACTACGTTTAGATGAGCGATATAGGAGGGAAGGAAAGGCGTTGCATATGCAAGCTCCTCCCAGGTCTCCTAGACATGTATATGTCAATATTCTGTTACGTACGAGCTTTCGATTATGTATTTTATTTGATCCCACCTTGTGTCTAAACATTTTCCCAAACTAATGGGGGACAAGAACACTTTTGATTTCTCCTTTGAGGCGTCACGCTGTTCGATCGAATGACGTTCAATCAAATAGGGCCTCCATGTCTGGTATAATCCTAAGTCACTTGGATTTCTATCCATTTACCTTAAACGAGTGCAAGGTTGACTAAACATTCATTCAAAGCGAAAAATAATGAAATAGAAGAATTCAAGCATCAACTAATATGAAACATAACAATCGTATTGAAGACATACATCGATTTTTACATGTATAGAACCCTTAGGGTTCAGATACCTACACAACTAAAGGAACTAGTCAGCCATGTGGATGGGTTCCTAGGCAATCATCAATTGAAATGAGGTTGGCAGAGAGCTTCCAGAATCTGCAACCACAATAGAGAAATGGGGCGTGTGTCACCATTTCCGGCGCCGATTCCTCCTTCTCGATTGGTTTTTCTCTAGGTCAAGCGAGGCCCTCTGTCGAGAGAGTAACAACTCTTCCTTGACCTCTCGTCTCCTCCACCGATGTCTATCTCCAGAGCCCAACTATAGGCCTATGATTAGGCTTTTGGGGGGAGAGAAACTTATAGCCAATCACAAATCTCCAACACGTGGTCAACAAATCAGGAAGCTCCTAGATAACTTCACTATGGGAAAAGTGGCTTTTGACAACACTTGAAATGTGTTGTAAAAAGTGCGTAAAGTGTTGCATATGTGATATGCAACACTTTTAGTAGTGTCCTCTATAGGTGGTGTTGTATAAAGTAATATGTAACACTTTTTTTTTACCTTTTGCAACAAAAAAATATGTGTTACATATGTATACCTATATGCAACACCATTTTAGGCAACACTTTTAGACTAGTATAACCAATACGTGTATGCTTTATTCGTGACAAGATTTATTCATCACATAAAACATATTCAATCGAGACAACTTTCGATTATAAAAAATACTATACACTTTGTGACGAGTTATTCTCATCACCATATGTATTTTAACTGTCACCGATTTAACTTGTCACAAACGAGTCATATTTCTGACGATACTTCTGACGATTTAACTTGTCACGATATGTGATTTAACTCTCACCGATTTAATATGACCGGGCGATGATGTGGTGCGTTGACCGTTAGTCAACACGTTTGACCGTCCAAGTTAGTGGTCAAACGTCGGGTTTGGCCAATTTGGTTATTTTGATGTATAGTTTAGGCCAGAATGTTATAGATCGAAAAGATTTTCCAAAATGTTTATTTTGGTCAAAGTTCAGGCCATACAAATATATTAACACTAATAATTAACACTAATATTTCAAGTAATAATAAAATACTAACTAATTACTAAACAAATGGAAGTCTAATAATTAATGAAATGTTACGATGGATCGATCTCGTAACATTAAATAACATTAATTTAAGTGTTACGAGAGTTCAACCGCGAGAGCGCATATTATGAGAAATCTGATGTCTGAGTTCCAATCGATTTGAAGGACAAGGACCGTGTCTTTGTGCTCCTCAAGTTCAACGTACTGAACTTCCATTTCGACAGCTCAAACCTGTACTGTATCCTCCTAATTTCATTTAAGACAGTGAGCGACAAACAATTAAAAGTTGGCCAGCGAATAACATGTCCAAAACAAAGGCTTATTAATCTCTACCATGGAATTAGGTAAGCAACCCCATCTGCCAAACCGGGCTGCTCAATTAGCTTTGAGTAAAGCTCACACGGACTTATTTTTGGGTGTCCTCCCCAAAAGGTCTCGTACTAATGAGTTTGGTGGACACTAATATACAAGGGTCTCTTTCCTTGTATTACTGATGTGGTACTTAGATTGTCCCATAACAATCCTCTCCTCAATACATGGACCACGAAGTTCGTGTCCTCACCTTAACGATTATCTTGATATGCCACACGCCTTGTATCGATGGACTTATCGTTACAAGGACTTTTTTTCCCAGACGTGGAACTCTCTTTGATCTGCCAAACGAACGTGGATCTCTCCATCTCTCGTGGATCCACCAAACCAGACGCAAATCTCAAATCCCGAGGTCACCGAACGAGGGTCCCACCAAACTGACGTCCACCGCCCCGGATCCGCCGAACCAGGCTCTGATACTACTTGTTGTAATCGGGTTGCTCAATTAGTATGATATTGTTCGCTTTGGGCCAAGCCCGCACGAATTTATTTTTGGGTATCCTCCCCAAAAGGCCTCGTACTAATTGGGCTAGGTGGACACTTGTATTTCCAATATGATAACTGAAGTGTCTCATAACACATCCTAGTTTACGATCAAGAATTTTCAAGATAGCCACATACCCTTTCGTGTCTTTCTTTATTTAAAGGCCCATTTTCTCACCACCCAGCCAGCCCTCCATAAAACCTTCTCATCAGCTAGCTCTCACACGCTGCAATTTCCTCGGCAGGGTAATTAATTAACAGTGAAGAATATAATCAATCAGTCTCTAAGTGTTTACTTATTTCATGGCTGAAAACGCAGCAAGAGAAGAGAGCTTTGGGTGCGCTATGCAGCTGGTGATGGGCTCTGTTCTTCCGATGACTATGCAGGCCGCCAACGAATTGAGAATTTTCTCCATCATCGCAGAAGCTGGATGCCCAAGCAGCGCATCAGAGATCGTCTCTAAGTTAGAGTCGAAGAATCAAGATTCGGCCGTTAATAAGGTCGATCGCATTCTTAAGCTATTGGCTGAACATTCCGTAGTCGATTGCACGCTGGACGCCTCCAAGCAGCAGCGGCTCTATAGCTTGAATTCTGTTTCCAACTACTTCATAAAAAATGAAGCTGGTGTCTCGCTGGCTCCCTTGATGTCGTTGATTCAAGATAAAGTCTTCCTGCAGAGCTGGTAATATTGTTAATTATTTGTCTTCTCTTAATTTATATATATATCTCACAAAAAATTATATATATATATATAGTTTTGAGTTCAGCGCACTTGTTTTACAAATGTCATTCTAAGAAAGTGATTCGTGTCAAAACAACGCCTAGCGATAGGGTGGCTATATAGTCCGGTTCGATTAAATTGACTCGAATTGATTCGGTCTCGGTCCGGTCTTTTCGAGAATATAAGGATCGAAACTTGAATTGGATACAGTCCGGTCTTGAATCGATCCAGTCCCAATTTGATCTTGATTTTAGATTGAGTTTGTGGGAATTTGAGTGTCCTGGGGGGGGGGGGGGGGGGTTGAGTGGCCTCAAGCTTGAAAGGGTGAGGAGGTTAAATTTTGGGTGTTGGACTCTCTTATTCGGTCTCTATCCGATTTTCGGTCCGGTCCCAAACGATTTTTTACCTCAAATCTGGGCCCGAAGATTGGATTGGATTGTTTGCTATCCGGTCCGGGTCCGGTCTCGGTCCGGGTTATACGGTCCGGTTTCGAGTAAAACCAAAAAGCTCGGACCAAATAGTCAGCCCTACCGAGCGGCACTTCTGATATGATGGACAAGAAAATGCATTAATTTGCACAATAATCATTGAATATTTACTTTGATTTCTTTATATTTTGATTTAATAACTCGCGGGTAATCGGTACTCATGCCTAATTTATTAGATCACGATCGATGACCTAATTAAGTAGATTACTAGCATGGGCCACGGGCCACGGCCATTTGGCCGGAGGAAGGTGAGGTATGAAATTCGATCATGCAATGGGGTGTATAGCTTATTGTTGGATAGTTTTTTTGGGAAACACGTGATAAAAATAGTGAATTTTAGTAGGAAAGAGACATGAATAATGCAACGAATCAAAAATCAGCCTTATGACCAAATAATCAAGTACCTTTTACCTTGTGAAACAATATTGTTTCTGGTAATATGATGAGGTGGAGTAAGTTTTATATAAATCGAATTCCGCCTATCCCGCCGGTTTTCGGGAAGACCATCTCACAATCGTTGCTAGCTTTTACTCGGCTCGTTGGCCGATTAATTTTCTTTATAAAACTTTCATCTTGTTATCATTGTGCTTTCTGGTTTTTTGTCAAGCCATGATAAAATCTAAAGAGATCAAGAATGAACAACACGATTTGGGATAGGAACCAACGTTCCTGTATCCCTAGAAAATGGTGGTAAACACGGACTCTCTTGCCAAACTGGTTTGGATTGAGATTTTTATCGGGTATCAGGGAACCATGTGATTATAAATTAGACTTGATCAAAACGGTCCAAAACTTGAAATTCAGCCTGTTTGACCGACCCATGCCAAACTCTAATTATTCTTTTCTTTTAAACTTTCTATTTGAAAATAAAAAATAATGAAAGAAAAGAGATGACTGCAATTCGCCATTTGCATATCACAGATTCGGGAATAAAACTATAGAATTTCGAAAGGAAACTGAAAATGTTTAGGATCGTTTTAATGTTAAAAATAACCAAATAAATCTTTCTGTTTAGTTTTTTACTAACAAATACCAAACGATTCCCTATAATATACAATATAATTTAATCATTATGATATCAAATAATTGCATAATATATATTTGAAATGATAAAAATTGGACTAATTGGGTTGGTCGAGGTTGAACCATTGAATAACTTTAAAATACATTATATTTTAGCCACTAAGATATAAAATAATAGCATAATATATAATATGCTAGAGAAAATAGCTTGTTTTAGAATGGCAAACCCATGATGTTCATTTATTTTACTTGATGGGCAAATCCCGTGTAGGTCTGGCCCATTCAACTCTTTTATTTTATGATTAGTGGTTAGCCCATTAGAATCCATGCATTAGTTTACTGTTAAATTTTTTCTTTTTAGCAATAAAAAGGAGTATTGTTTTTGCCTTTTCATATATATTTTACCACCACGGAGAAATAAAAGGACTTAAAGAAAAAAATTGACACTCTTGGACCCGTTTAAATCCGCATGTGTACGGTAAGTTGGCTCGTTCCACAGAGGAAAAAGAAAAAGATTGACACTCCCTATTCTACCCTTCCGACAAACGCTCATGGATCAGGGAATTTGAAATGGGGGAAGGGTTTTTTCCTCTCTGCGAGTATACGTTTTTAATTTAAAAAGATATAACAAATGTACTTAGTGTGATTGGTTATGATCTTTGCTTTTCTTTAAAGTGGTCATGGTTCGAATCCTAGTAAGTGTCTTTTTAATGAATAAAAATAAAGTAATTGTGAAGACCAAAATGTCCATCCTCCTTTCACTCTAGATGCTGGAAATTTGAAATAGGGCTTCAAGTTTTCTCATTTAGCGAGAGTCCCACTCTAAAAATGGGAGACATACTTCTCTAACCCAATAAGCCCAATATCTTTTGATCCGTCGGTTGTAAACTTTCTCGTTTGTGGTTTTTTTTTAATGCATCAATCGCCATTATAAAAAAAAATAAGCCCAATATCTTTTAATGCCCAAAATTGAGTTGGAAAAAAAGAAGAAACATACTTCTCTAGCCCAATACCTTTTAACTTAATAAATAATGAGCAAAAAGTTGTATGCTCTCATACCACGTCTTTTTGGATGTTGTTGTTTTTATTTATTTATTAAAAGATACTAAAATAGAGATCGTTTTGATACGAGTTGGATAATCAGAATAATAGTGGGAGCCGGTGAGATATTGGTGGCAAAGATGAATTAAGCATGCCAAATAAATAATCTCATCCTATATCTTGTGGTGTCTAAACATTTTGCGCGCAGGTCTCAATTGAAAGATGCGGTGCTAGAAGGAGGGGTTCCATTTGACAGGGTCCATGGAGCTCACACTTTTGATTATTCGGGTCAAGATTCGCGGTTCAACCAAATTTTCAACGCGGCGATGTTTAACCATACCTCCATTGTCATACAAGAGGCCCTCAATTCCTACAAAGGATTCGAGCAATTACGAATGGTAATTGATGTCGGCGGTGGGTTAGGACAAACCATAAAGGCAATTACTTCCAAATATCCCAATATTAAGGGCATCAATTTCGACTTGCCCCATGTTATACAACAGGCTCCAATCATTCCTCGTAAGGAAAACTTTAACGTGTGTGTTTTTTTTCTTTTTTTCTTTTATTAATTATTATTCTTGGCTGCGACACAACACTAGTTTTCTCATCGGATATTGGTTGGGTATAATTAATCTACTTAATCATCATCATCATCATTTCAATTTATAGGCGTGGAACATGTAGCGGGGGATATGTTCGAGTGCATTCCCCAAGGAGAAGCCATTTTCATGAAGGTAAACAATCATTCTCAATTACTGATCAGTAAGTGGTTCACTTAGTTACTGTTCATGTATATCGGGAAGGGAATAGAGTCGCGGACTGGCTCTCGAAGGACAGTCTCGTCTATTCCTACGGTATGCAGGAACTTGTACACCCGCCAGCAGGTATAGGAACCTTGCTTAAAGATGATATTCAGGAAGTTTCTTTTGAAAGGCGGATTGTGTCCCGCCACTCTAACTCTTCTTCCTCTCCTCCCCCCATGTAACTTCTCTTTCTTGGCTTTTTGCCTCCCGCTATGCAAAAAAAAAAAAAAAGTGGTTCACTTAGTTACAATAAGAAACTTAATTATGTATATTACTGGGAGAAAATTCATTAATTACTAACGTGGGTTTGCATGCAGTGGATACTCCATGACTGGAATGACGAGCGATGTTTAAAGTTGTTGAAGAATTGCTACGAGGCACTTCCAGAGGAAGGCAAAGTGATCGCCATGGATGCAGTGGCTCCCGTCGTGGCGGAGACGACCACAAGCTCAAAATTGACCGCTCTGGTCGACGTGCTGATGATAGCACAGGACCCCGACGGGAAGGAGCGAACCAAAGATGAATTCGTGGCGCTAGCTATTGGGGCCGGGTTTAGGGCCGTCAAGTTTGAATGCCTTGTTTGTAATTTGTGGGTGATGGAATTCCTCAAATGAAAGTGGCATGGCTACTGGGTTTTCCTTTCCACCATGGTGCGGGAATAATTGGGGACAAAGGACGAAGAAATGGATTTCAGATTTGTAGTGTCTCTTTTATGATTTCATGATAAAGCTTTGACAATGTCATTATATCAATGTTTGCGTGTGTCTAAACAATAAGAAAATAAATAATATTATTATGAGTGCTTTTTTTTTTATATTTTTCCCCTTACTTGTACAATTGGTAGATATGGGCCTTTAGTTTTGTGTGGACTCATAAAAATCTATATATAAGGGTTGAGAAATGATGGTTTTTAATTTTTCTTACATTTCTTAACTTGAATTAAGAAAAAAAATTCCACCGAGTGCATCTTAATCTATTGGATATACAAATTTCTGGAGAAAAGATACATGATCAAAATGTATTACCTCGTACCACCATGGTACAGGGGTGGTAACTGGTGATAAGCAATGATGATTGTGTTAAATGACAGTTTGTATAATCCTACCATCATGTATTCATATATTCCTACCATACATGATGATTGTGTTAAATCACCAGACCACGGCACACTTACATACCACGTAGTATGATCTTATATAATACCAAACATTACCATCATGGTGTAGACTGTAGACTGTACTAAATGTCTCAATATATCAAACTGGATATCATTTTGAAGAACACAATTAATTTGATTTATCAATGAAAAAATATAATTATAACTTAAAACGAAAAATATAACTCGTTAAAATTTATAGGGGAAAGGCAAAATGACATTTTGGTATGTTTATTTTTTCATTAAAAGGCACTAATTTCCAAACACGCCTCTTTGTTCTGTAATAACTAGGGCTGGCTAGTTGATTTATCAATGATGATTGAACCCAAGTCAATGGTATTCGATCTAAGTGGAGGCTTTTGTGGATTTAGCTACTAATCAATTAGTTTATGACAACTATTTTTATTAATTAATCAAATGTTCTAATTAGTTCCTTTAATGATGATTGAACCCAAGTCAATGGGTATTCCATCTAAGTGGAGGCTTTTGTGCATTTAGCTCCTAATCAATTAGTTTATGACAACTAAGTTCACATTGAAATTATTATTATATCTTTAAAAGAATAATCTACATATAACTATTTTAGTGTTTAAATTCTTTTAATGACATTTTGACCCAAGTCAATAGGTATTCGATCTAATTTGATCTGGTTAAAGCGAGTTGAGTCTGGTGTTTACAAGTTTATGGCCGGGAATGACATTTTAATGACATTTTAAATATTTCCTCTTATGACAATTGAACCCAAATTCATGTGTGTTCAAGCTAATTCGACCATATATCGGTGTTGCCGAATTTTAGGTCGAGAACTAAATTTACCCGCTTTTGTAATTAACGAATTGGGCCGGGTGTGTATTTTGTTAAAATCTCACACCGCTTTATCGAGTTAAATCGAGTGTTGATGAATTTTGGGTCGAGGATGAGTTTTACCCTTTACACTTTTGGGGACACGAATGAATTTTATCCACTTTTGCAATCATTTAATTGGGTCGAGAACGCATTTTATGCTCTTTTTTTATCTAATTTAACCGATCGAAGCGAGTTGAACTCGTGTTGACGATTTTTGGGCCGGGAATGAATTTTACCCCCTTTTGTAATTAACGGATTGGATCATTGTCGATTTTGTTAACAACTCGGCACATTTTATCAAACTGGTTAAAGAGAATTGAATCCAGTGTTTACGGGTTTTTTGTCGGTTCTTATTAAAAGTACTTTTGCTTAGAATCACATCAAATGAGTGATCATTTCGTTATTTTCCACAAATTGAAGGACCAAAAGTACAATTGCGTTTGACTTTTAGTGTTGTTTACTTTTGTTGGAAATAAAATAATTATTTCCTTTGATAATTTTGGTGGGCACGTTTGTTTGGACTAAAGGAATTGGGAAGCTTTTGATGAGTCTTTATTTGGGAAAGGAAATTTGCAGAGAGATGTGGGGGAGGAAGCCTTTTATTACTTGAATCTTTCTTTCTTGGCTCTGCTCTTGCTTTACCATCGTACAAGCTTAACCTATTTATAGGCCTTCTCCCAAACAAATATCAACACAACCGACCTAAACATATGGTTCTTGTTTTTTTTGCTTTGTTTAATCCATAATCATACAACTACCCAACTAACACATTTAATTCATTACTAAATGTTGCTGATTTTTTCTTCTTCTCCAGCAGAATCCACACTCGTCTACTAGCTTCTAGGATGTTTAGATATTTTTGATTATTAAATTTTATTTAATTTCAACACTCCCCCTTAAAGTTTAATTCGTAGTAACTCCAAGTAGCGTCCTCATCTTGACGAATACATCTTGCTTCAGCGGCTTCTTCGGTTTTCACATATTTCAGCGTCACTTCTTTTTGCTCCACACATTCTCTTAAGAAATGATATCTCGTATCAATGTGCTTACTGCGATCATGAAATACCGGATTCTTTGCTAACGCCAGGGCATACTTATTATCAACATAAATCTCAGTTGACTCTTCCTGTGTCATGTTCAATTCCTTTAGCAACTTTCTTAACCATATCACATGACACGCACACGATGTCGCAACAACATACTCAGCTTCACAAGTTGACAGTGTCACGATAGCTTGCTTCTTTGAACTCCATGTGAAAGCTGTATCTCCCAGGAAAAATACAAATCCTGTAGTGCTCTTGCGATCATCCACATCTCCTGCCCAATCACTATCGCAGTATCCAACCAATTTGAAATTTTCTAACTTAGCATAAAGTAGACCATGATCGATTGTACCTTTGACGTAGCGCATTATCCTCTTTGCAGCATTCCAGTGTGACATAGTTGGTGCCTCCATGTATCTGCTGACTAATCCAACTGCGTAGAGATTATCTGGTCTGGTACAAGTCAGGTATCTCAGACTTCCCACTAGGCTTCTAAACTCTGTTGAGTTTACCTTCTCTCATTTATCATCCTTGGATAGCTTTAGTCCGCACTCGGCTGGTGTGCTTACAGGATTACAATTCACCATCTTAAACTTCTTCAGGACTTCCTGGGCAAAACCACTCTGTGAGATGAAAATTCCTTCCTCCTTTTGACTTACTTCAATTCCAAGATAGTATGACATTAGTCCAATGTCTGTCATCTCGAACTCACGAACCATCGTCTTCTTGAACTCTTCAAACATTTGAGGATCGTTGCCTGTAAAGACGAGATCATCTACATATAGGAAAACCATCAATATTTCTCCCCCTTGCACCTTGCTGTATAGTGCATGCTCATGTGGGCATTTGTTGAATCCATTCTGCTGAAAATAATTGTCAATCCTCATATTCCAAGCTCTCGGTGTTTGTTTAAGACCATACAGTGCTTTCTTCAGCTTTAGCACCTTATCTTCTTGACCTTCAACGATATACCCAGGTGGTTGCTCAATATAGATATCTTCCTCGAGATATCCATTCAAAAAAGCTGACTTCACATCCATTTGATGTATCTTCCATCCATTTTGAGCAGCGAGAGATATCAGCATCCTGATACTCTCCATTCTTGCTACAGGAGCAAAAACTTCATTATAGTCAATGCCTGGTCTCTGACTATATCCTTTAGCCACAAATCTTGCTTTATGCCTGACAACTTCTCCTTTAGCATTTTTCTTGGCCTTGAATACCCACTTCACACCAATGGGCTTCTGGTTCTCGGTTAGTGATACAAGCTCCCAAGTCTTGTTCTTCTCAATTGCTCCAATTTCTTCATCCATGGCTCTTCTCCATTTTTCATCCTTCATGGCTTCTTCAACATCAACTGGTTCACTATCGATGAAATGACAGTAGAGTGTCAATTCATCACCTTCAATGGTTGTCGTTTCCTCATAAATTTCTTCAAGTCTCCTATACTTCTGTGACCTTTCTCAGGGACTTTCACTAGATTCTCCTTCTGGGTTGGCAGACTCTCTGTGACTGGGTGGACTTGTCACAAGTGTAGCTGTATCTGGTTCATCATCACTTTCATCCATAGTGAATGTATAAAAAGTATAACTCTTCTTTGCTTCAGTATTCTAGTCCCATGTTGCTTCTTCATCAACTACCACGTCTCTACTAATGATCAGTTTCTCTTCCACGGGATCAAACATTTTGTAACACCTTTTGAGTGTTCTGAGTATCCCAGGAATATGTACTACTTGCTTTTGTCATCCAACTTCTTCCTTTCTTGATCAGGTACGTGCACATATCCTACACTTCCGAAGACCCGGAGGTGAGAGATTTTGGGTTTCCTTCCGCTCCAAGCTTCTTGAGGTGTTTGATTCCAAACACTCTTTGTTGGTGACCTGTTCAGCAGGTAGATTGCACAATCAACAGCTTCAGCCCATAGCTCCTTTGGCAGGTTCTTGCTCTTCATCATGCTTCTCGCCATGTTGAGTACAGTTCGATTCTTCCTTTCAACAACTCCATTTTGCTATGGCGATCTAGGGACTGTGAGAAACCTGCGAATTCCTTGATATTCATAAAACCTTCTGAACTTCTTTAGCATAAATTCTCCCACTCTATCAGATCTCATTGCTTTGATGTAGCGACCACTTTCATTCTCCACGAGCATCTTGAACTTCTTGAAAGCTTCAAATGTGTCTGACTTTTGCTTTAAGAAGTACACCCATGTCTTTCTACTATAGTCATCAATGAACAATAGGAAGTATTTGTTCTTGCCAAATGATGTTGGAGTGATCGGACCACAGAGATCTGCATGGACAAGCTCAAGTGGTGCTTTAGCTCTTAACAGGGACTCATTCGGGAAACTTGCCCTGAATTACTTCACAACTAAGCAACCTTCACACAATTGGTCTGGATGATTGATCACTGGCAGACCATGCACCATCTTCTTTTGACCAAGCAATTTCAGACCTCCAAAATTTAGATGGTCATACCTCAGATGCCATAGCCATGTATTGTCCTTTACACACGCTTTCAAGCACTTCGCCATTTCTGTCTGAATGTTCAGTGTGAACATTCTGTTTTTCGACATTGGGACTCTGGCCAACAACTGCCTCTTCTCATTTAGCAGCTCCAATTGACAATTCACCATGTGGACTTCATAATTCTTCTCCATCAATTGACCCAAACTCAGGATGTTACTAGTCATGTCTGGGACATAGTACACATCACTGATAAATTGTTGTGAGCCATTCTTCAGCCGGATGAGTATAGTTCCTCTGCCTTTGATAGGAACCTTCGAGGAATTTCCAAATACGACATTTCCTTTCACTGATTCATCCATATCCACGAACATGTTTCTTTTTCCACACATGTGGTTGCTTGCTGCATTATCCAGATACCACATGTTATCTCTCGATTTTTCATCTCCTTGATGTGACAACATCAATGTGCCTTTGACTTCTTCTTGCACGTTGTTTGCTGTCTCCTCTACTTCTTTAGGCGGAATCCAACATTCCAATTCATAATGCACGTACTTCGAGCAATTATGGCACTGGACGTTGGATTTATCACGACCTTCATTTGATCTCCAACTTCCTCTTCCACGTCCACGACCACGACCTCTGCCTCTGGTGGACGTTTCATAATTAATTGTTCGTGTGAAAATTTCCTCCATCTCTGCTTTGATATGCTCCTCGGGCTCTTCCTCTTGCTCTGCCTCGACCTCTGTACTGAACTCCTCCTCGTGCGCCTTCTTTCTCCTCAGTGGTAGCTTTTGTAGCTAACACTTGTTCTGACGATTCTTCATTTCTTTTATTTAATCTTTCTTCTCTGGCTTGTAATGAACCGATGACTTCATCAACCGTCATTTTTGACACGTCCTTAGCTTCTTCCATGGCCACCACCACATAATCAAACTTTGGTAATAATGACCGTAGAATTTTCTCCACCACTTTGGTCTCTTCAATTTTCTCCCCATACTGCTTCAGTTTGCTGACGACTGACTTCACACGGGCGGTGTAATCTGAAACAGATTCACCTTCCTTCATTTTAATGGCTTCAAAATCTCGTCTTAGTGTCTGAAGTCGAACCTTCTTTACTGGTTCTACGCCTTGCATTTCCTTTTGCAAAATTTCCCATGCTTCCTTTGCTGTGGTAGCATCTGCTATTTGATCAAACATCGATTCATCAAGACATTGACGAATTAGAGTGAGTGCCTTTTGATCACTCTTTCTATTTTTTCTCAATACCTCCTTTTCAGCAGGAGATAACCGAGAATCCTCCACGGGAATCTCGTAGCCTTTTTCGACAATATCCCAAGTATCTTGGGATCCCAGCAAGGCTCTCATACGGATACACCATTTTTTATAATTGGTTTTGGTAAGGTGGGGGAATTGAATGGGGAAAGTGGATTTTTCGGTCATGGGACAATCGTGATAACCACAACACAAGAAATTCTTTTATGATGTGGAAGATCAGACTACGCTGCAACAACAGAGCATACTCAGAAATAACTCGAGCTCTGATACCACTTTGTTGGAAATAAAATAATTATTTCCTTTGATAATTTTGGTGGGCACGTTTGTTTGGACTAAAGGAATTGGGAAGCTTTTGATGGGTCTTTATTTGAGAAAGGGAATTTGCAGAGAGATGTGGGGGAGGAAGCCTTTTATTACTTGAATCTTTCTTTCTTGGCTCTGCTCTTGCTTTACCATCGTACAAGCTTAGCCTATTTATAGGCCTTCTCCCAAACAAATATCAACACAACCGGCCTAAACATATGGCTCTTGTTATTTTGCTTTGTTTAATCCATAATCATACAACTACCCAACTAACACATTTAATTCATTACTAACTGTTGCTGATTTTTTCTTCTTCTCCAGCAGAATCCACACTCGTCTACTAGCTTCTAGGATGTTTAGATATTTTTTATTATTAAACTTTATTTAATTTCAACAACTTTTTGATGTTTCAGTTTGTTGTGATGCTTATTTCTTCAAATGCTATAGAATTGAATGGCTTGATGGTTGTATATGTGGGAGAGATTTCTCTGATTGAAGCCTGGTGGTGTTTTGTCTTGGTAGGAGGGGGGAATTACTTCATTGTTTTGAATGAGGCCATAGGGATAGGGAAGCTGATAGAAACCTGCATTTCTATTTAATTAGCAATTGAACTTATTTGATAGTTTATGAATGTCTATGGATTTATTGGGTATTTGGGGAATTAGATTGGGGTCTAATAAGTTGGGGGGTAGTTATCGGTAATTAGGAATTGTTATTTAAACTATTTTCTACGTTGAATGAGATTATGGAATGATTGAACCGTAAACCTAATAGCAATTCTTCTCTCCCTCTCTTCCTTCCCTCTGCTGACCCCTCACTCTTCCCTCTCCTCCTCGGCAGCCACTGCAGCCGACTTCCCCTTCCTTCTTCTTCTTCTTCTCTTCGAGCCAAACCATTTCCCTTCCCCTTCTCATTATTTCCACCGCCAACAGGAGCCAACCTAGGCCCATTTCCATTTCAATTCCCCTTTTATCATCATCAGATAGATCCCGGAGAACGGGTTTCTATCATCTGGTATCGAGCTCAGGTTCTGACTATTGAGTTTATCGCAACTCTACACCGGGACGGATAACAGAGCTATGGCGATCACTAAATACCCTGCGGAGAAGTCTGATGCTGGATCCAAGGCGGCCCAGACCAGGGTTTCCTTGCCGCAGGCAGACAATCGGCGTGAAGGTGTTGTGGTGGACGAGACTGAGAATGACGATCTCCAAGCCTCGATGCGCACCATCATGGCGATGCAATTGAGGACTGACTCCAACATGGAGGAGGTGAGGGCTGAGGTTGAAGAGGCCAAGCGTGATCGTGACATAATCATGCAGCTCCTCACCGGCATGCAGGAGGAGCAGAGGCGGTTGGCGGCGGCGTTGGGGCTCGGCGGAGGCGATCGGTGCCAGGAGGCGGCGGCCAAGGCGAGCAAAGCAGCGGCGGGGGGTCAGCACGTGGGCGCCGGAGGAGGGAAGTCGACGGCGACCTCGGCGGTTAGCTCGACGGCGGCTGTCCCGGCTGCTGTCGATGCTGTGGCGGGGCCCGGAGGAGAGGCGACGGCGGCAACCCTAGGGCCGGCAGGAACTGATCGGGTGGGCCCAGGGGCTGATGGGCCTCAAAGTGGACCCAGGCTACTACCGACTCCGACGCTGAGGAGATCGCGACATTACGTGGGAAGACGAAGATGTCGGGCTACGACAATGTGGTCCAAAACCCCTGTTTCAAACCAATGGGCCCGAGCCCAATGGAGGGTGAGATGGGCCGAATGCAGCGGGCCGAAGACGGGCTCGATCAGTAAGGCAGGGCAGAGCGGGCCATGGTGAACCTACCGGGCCCAGATGGTCGGACCGGGACTGGGTGGACCGAGGCCGGTCGGACCGAAGCTGGGTGGACCGAGGCCGGTCGGACCGAAGCTGGGTGGACCGAAGCCGGTCGGACCAGGACTGGGTGGACCGACGGTGGCCGAACCAGAACCGGGTGGACCACCAACGGCCAAACCGGGGTGGGCCGATTTGCAAGCGAACCCCACCAGTTTGCGTTGACTCTGGATGGCCGACCAGTACTGAATGGCGGGCCCAGCTGGAGGGTTCGAGTGCCTACGGACCTCCGTTAGCAGCAGCAGGAGACCCAGGGGGTTAGCTGGGTGGGTACGAAGACTACCCAGGCGGGAACAGACCGAGCTGGAGTGCAGGGGACGACGCACGCGGACCCCCGGGGTATTACAGAGGCTACCCCAGTGCTGGCAGGTATGGTGGCTATGATCGCTATGATGATGAGTATGGATTGGTGTTTAGGGCCAAACCCCAGACTATTGAGTTTCCAAAATTCAATGGTCAGGAGGATGTCGGTTTATGGTTGTATGCAGCTGACAGGTGGTTCAGAAATCACCCGACCCGGGAGGAAAGGAAGGTGCAACTGGCGTCCTTCTACTTGGAGGGAGACGCCCTGCACTGGTGGGAGTGGTTAGAGCGATCCTATGCTGCCGCGCAAACGCTGATTACTTGGCCGATATTTCAGGTGGAGCTTTGCTACCAATTCGGCAAATCAGAGGGCTGGGCGCCGGAGCAGCTGGCCAAGCTCAGGCAGACCGGATCGGTAACTAATTACCGGGCCGAGTTTCTCAAATTGGGGAACCAGTGTAAAGGAGTTCCAGAAGAGACCCTGGTGGGAATATGCATGGCAGGGCTAAAGCCTGAGATTGCTGCGGCAGTCAAGATTTTTGAGCTGGACACCTTGCGGGCTGTTTTTCGTCTTGCAGGTCATAACGAAGAGGAGCTGGCGAGTTGGAGGAACGTCATAGGGCGCTACCCCAAGCCTGGAGGAGGAGGCCACGCCGGTGCGAGGAGTAGCGGGAGTGGCAGCACCGCTATTACTGCTAGCGGCGGGGCTGGCGCGACACCGGGAGCAGTGACCCCGGCAGCACGGCTTGGGCCGAGGGCTCCACCTAAGGGCTTCGTCAGGCTAAGTTCAGCGGAGATAGATCAGAAGAGAAGGGAAGGCAAATGCTTCAACTGCGATGAGTGGTTCACCATCGGGCACAAGTGCGCGAAGCCGGAATTAATGATGTTGGTGGGAAGATGGGAGGATGAGGCCGAGGAAGATGCAGCGGAAGGCAGGGGCGAAGAGCAGGTGGAGGACTAACAACCTTGAGGACAAGGTTGATTCGAAGAAGGCGGGGATGATAGAAACCTGCATTTCTATTTAATTAGCAATTGAACTTATTTGATAGTTTATGAATGTCTATGGATTTATTGGGTATTTGGGGAATTAGATTGGGGTCTAATAAATTCGGGGTAGTTATCCTTAATTAGGAATTGTTATTTAAACTATTTTCTACGTTGAATGAGATTATGGAATAATTGAACCCTAAACCTAATAGCAATTCTTCTCTCTCTCTCTTCCTTCCCTCTGCCGACCCCTCACTCTTCCCTCTCCTCCTCGGCAGCCACTGCAGCCGACTTCCCCTGCCTCCTTCTTCTTCTCTTCGAGCCAAACCATTTCCCTTCCCCTTCTCATTATTTCCACCGCCAACAGGAGCCAACCTAGGCCCATTTCCATTTCAATTCCCCTTTTATCATCATCAATAGATCCCGGAGAACGGGTTTCTATCAGAAGCTGTACAAGTCAATGACCAATGAACCTGCACATTTTAACAACAACAAGAATATATTCCTTTTCTTTTATGGCCTAAGGTTATCTAGGTCTCAGGAATGTGCACAAGTCTCGGAAACCTCTCACACCTCTATTAGTAATGTAATATGAAGGAATTTTAGGTAATACCAAATTAGCATATTTTAATGTGTTTTTCGACTCTAATATGTTTCCTTGCAATAATTGTGTCATTTCGGGAAAATCGCTATATGTGCCCTGTGAATCCTCCAGTATGACATATCACAAACTTCCCGCCGCGGAGCGCGGGTTTCCTTACTAGTGTATTATAACTTTATAAGCAAAGCAAGGGCCAAGGGTGCAGATCGCAGTTGGCAGAGAAAGGGCGGGGACTTGGTATATTAAACAAATGGATATGATCTGATTCTTGATGAAATGACATTATGTATAATGTTAAACAAATGGGTTTCAGCACGTGTGTGTATATATATAGCCTTTTTAATGTCAGAGCTAAAAACTGGATCCAGTCCACTCTCCAGTCCAGGCTGACACAAGAGAAAAAGCATACGGCGCCATGGCGTACGTAGGTAGTTTAAAAACAAACAAATAGAATACACACCGGGAGCAATGGACGCGTGTACCTACTGTACCTAAATATAATTCAATATATTGTGCATCGCTAATTTAAACCAGCTAGCTCTCGTTCTGTGCTTCTTTTTATATTATACATTGATGATCTGAAAGCAGTGGCCAGCGGCTACAATTAGAGTAGTAGCAGCTGCGCGCTGCTGGAACACTCGCCGAGACACTCTGCTGTGCTGCCCACTTCCATTCGGTACTGAAATCCCATTTTTCACTTCTTCACTTCTTCTTCTTCTTCTTCTTCTTCTTCTTCTTGAGCAAGTTGCTCTTGTTCTTCTTCTTCAAAGCAACGCGTTTTGCGTTGGTCATGGGGGCTAGCTAGCTGCTGTTCAGAAGGAGCGAATAAGGTATTGGGTTTATCTAGACTATAATAATATTCATGGTCTTCATCATTTGGACATCCTGCAAAACCATACTTAAATAAATCTGGACACAGCTGGTTATGGTTTTCTTGCTGAATCGATCTGTTGTGTTTTCACTGAACGAAACTGCAGGAAAGAGCCTCGTTTACGCAGGATCGATGGCAAGCATGGCATTTGATTTAGCAGAAGCTTGTTATTGAGAACTGATTCATGACTGTCTTGGTTCTGCAGTTAGGGTTCCCGGCCATTCAAGGAAGCTTGCTGCCTGGCCTGCTGGTGATCAACAATGAACTCATGTAATAAGGTGTGTGGATCCTTCAACATTAATCCATTTTACAGAATATATATATACTAGATAATTGGCCTGCGCTTTGCGGCGGGTACCGATAAACATCTTCGTGAAATGCATTAAATTGAATTAGCCATAATCAATACATTTGTTGGCGTTTGATTTTGATTGTTACAATATTTTTATTTTGATCTTATAAATTTTCTTAAAAAATTCTACTTTTCTTCATGGATAACTTTCATACTTTCTTACAATGTATATCATTCAAGTATACTTAGTTTGATGTATTATTGGTAATTAAAATAAGTTAGGACGAACAGTCTTATATGTAGAACAGGAAAACTCATAAAAATACTTGTCAAAATGATATTGTGAAAATGACTCAGTGTATCGTTTTATAATCTAAAGGTACCATAATTATCAAAAATTTTACTTTTAAATAATTTCATCATCTCAAATGTGTGTAATTTTCAAGTGGGCACCATTATAAGATCATAAACACTAAACATTTGGAATTATCTGATCCAATTAGGGTTCTGGGATGGTTACTTCTCAAGATTTATTAGAGTAAATGAAAAATAAAGTTGCAAGGCACTTGAATTGTATGCATTATTAGTATAATATAGTGACATGGAACAAAAACTATAATCAAATTTTTTTTAGAAGAGAACAATTATCCATTGAGGTGAACCTCGATTCTATTGTATTAGGTAGGTGATTGTCAAACTATATACAAAGCTAAGTTTTCATCATAAGATATATATAAAATCAAGCCCAAAGAAATTTGTCTTTTGAATTTTGGTATTGGGAAATAAAAAATTTAGTGGAATACGTGGCATCCGTTCACTGCAACGTGTAAATCATGCACATGGGAAAGAATACCAGTTCTTGATAGCTAGATCTTGGGAGGGAGTACCAAAATGTAGCCTTAAAAAAGCAGCAAATTAAATGGGGATTCTATTGGTTCTCTAGCAAAAAAATTGACAGGGGAAGCCGGAAATTGATGTCCCTCGCTTGAGCCCATATTATCAGTTTCTCATTGGTCGATGGCCCTATTCACTCCTTTTTCGCCACCTTCAATTCCTTCAATTCACTACCCTTACAGTTCAATAAATGGGCACCTGCAACATCCTCGATCGTATGGGAGCAGGTACTGATCAGTAGGTGGAGGAAGGCAATCGGCGGTGAGGAGCATCGGAGGTTGGCGATAGCCTGTCAAAGAAAGTCGGGTCTCTATTTAATCTATGGTATCGGCAGTAGTGAAGAAAGGTCGACAATACAACAGCTAGCATCGGAGTTGCATGTATTCTACTGATGCGGCCGAGATTGGGAAGACCACCAAGGTCCTACATAGAGCGTCGTGGGAGAACGGAGAAATGCGGAGGAGAGGCGGAGGCCCAGTCGTTGAAATTGCTTGGCTAGCCGCAAGCCGATTTATTAACGGGGATGGGGAAAGTCGGGTAGATGGTTTGCTTTGACACGCTTAGACGTGGGTAGCAGGTGAGGAGAAGAGGGTCTTAAATCAGCGGCTGATAATTGAGTCTTAGAGTGTGATGGACGGCGATCCGCATAGTCTTCATAATGTAGACCCGTCCACTTTCCACTCGACCCCTTATACCAATTAGGCGCCTAATTACATTTAAATTTACATCCAAAGGAAAGGAATATGCATTCCAACGAACGTGTTTACACCTCGAGAAGGCACAAGCAAGATGACAAGGAACCATTACCAAAACGTAGCAGTGCAACCCCAAACATCAAGGTTGTCAACCCGCGGGTTGACCCGAACCTGGTTGAGCTAGTGGGTCAAGGGTTAATGGGTCACCCATTTTAGCCCTGTTTAGCCCAGAAATATGGAAAGCGTCATTATATTGTACTTATCCTGATAAATTATATCAAATCTCATCTAACATATGAGTTATAACATATAATATTACACCAAAATAACATTTCGTACTTAGATTCAACATATAGTGAAAATTCACACACACTTATATAACATTAATATTCAAATGTTCAACTTAGGATTCCAAAGATTGAGTTAGGCGAAAAGAAAAATCGGAAAATAGGCGCATTTCGCAAAACAAAGAAAAAATGACACAATTTGACCTCCAACCTAGTACCTTATAGCAGTCGACCCGGCGAATACGTGCGACCCGTTTTTCTCACCGGGTCAGGATCAAAGTGGGTCAACCCGCGGGTCGACCCAACCTTGCCAAACACTAAAATAATCACTCGCTAACATTATAAAAGAAAGAGAAAAAATAGCCAAGGAAGAAACCAAATTAAATGCTTAATAATTAACACACAGCTAGTCGTTGCACCAATTTATTCAATTCAATCACCACTTTAGTTTTAGCCCTCGTAAACATCCATTAGATTCTCCAAGCCGCCGCCAGCTACACCCGAGACCTGACGGCGCGGCTATACCCAGTTTGGTCATCATAGAACTTGGACCACAGCATTATCCCTCCGTACTTGGGCGACCGTTCGATCACCGGAAGAACCTCGGACACAAGATCACCCGCCGCAACGAACCCGCTGCCGGCCGCGCTCTGAGACGCCGGCAGGCCCAGGAATATCTCTCCCGCCGGAATCCCATTCCATTTCTTCCAGGCGTCCACCAGATCCTTCACCCCACCGCTCGGCTTAAACTCGCACTGCGGATTGTTGTAAAACTGGACCCAAACGTAGTCAAACAGACCCGTCTGCAGCGCGCTGTCCATCATCGCGTCGGGGAACGGGCACTGCGGAGCGGCGGATAAGTAGATTCGATTCCTCCCCCGACCGCCCAACTGGGAGAGAAATCTCGCCAGCTCGTCGTAGTGCCGGTTCGAGCCGAGCTCGATGTCGAAATCGATCCCATCGAGCACGGCCGGACCTAGCGGGCGGGAGGTCGCGGAAGCTGGCCTCCCGCCCAGAAAGCTGTTGAAGAGATAAATCGCGAACCGCCTGGCGTCCGCAGTGGAGGACAGGGAGTACCTCCCCGCCCCGCCGCCGATCGAGAGGAACACTTTTGTTCTTCTAGATTGACACAACCGGATGTCGGAGGACAGGTCACTGCAACCCCCTGAATTGGGGTCGCAGTGGCCCGATAGGTCCATGACAGGGGCGCGACGACCCTGCCCGAAAACGGGCAGGAAGGCTATGTTGACGAATTGGTATTTTCCAGTGGCGCAAGTCTGGGCCAATGTGCCCTCCGCGGGGCCGTTTTGGCCCCAGTAGATGGCGATGCTGGCGGCGTTTGAGCCGGTAGCTAGGATTAGCAGAAGAAGCAGAGTTGCCAGAGAAAATAGTGTTGTTGTTGATTGGAATTGCGGCGATGCCATCGTCTTCAACTAGCTAGCTAGTGTGTTTGTTCAGGAAGTATTATGTTGGAGGAGTCAATTAAGAGGGGATAATTGGTTGTGGTCGTCAAAGGTGAATGATATGCGCGTTTTTTTATAGAGAGCGAATGATGCTTGTGGTCGTAAACGGCTCCGACGTACGACGTCTCCTTGCTTTTAGTTTTATTGGACCTATCACTATAAATATTTTGGGTAGTTTATGAGCATTTCGTAAATTGACTCAGTCATCTGTAAACGAAGTGCATATACAAGTACTAGTTATCGAATTATTATATCACAAAAGAAAATATCTTGAAGTCAAGACACATTACTACGTTGGTTGGGCAAGTGACAAAACAACAGCTACCGTACATGGGATGGGGGAAAAAAACCATTCCCACCACAAGAAATATTCGGCCGCATGGATTTATATTATTCGCAAGGTTGTCAAACCGGTTAATACTAGGATGGGTAACGGTTATCCCATTAATAGTGTAATCGATAACGAAATCGGAACCGATGTTTAACGATTACACCGATAATCGATTAAATGATAAACTGTCGGTTCTCGGTAGCCAAATTTAGCTAATAACTAATCGATGGTTAAACGATTAATAACTGACGGTTAAGCGGTTAACCGACTAGCCGATTACAACCATCATCATAGTTAGAGCAAAAAATAATAGACCCCCATAAGCTACAAACATAAGCCGAAAATAATGGGTTGTTTGAAGGTTTATAAGACCCGTTGCCTATCCTAGTTGTAATAGTGATTTAGACTCAAATGAGTATAATTTAAAGGAAGAATTTAAGAAGGAGCACAATAGAAAGTCAGACTTGCACACAATTGCTCGACAACAATCAGTAACATTAAGCTTCCATGTAATTCAATGGGGTTTACCGGTTGACTAATTGTTGTTGGGTCTCTTATCGTTGTATGCTTCTTTAATAAAATTTGACGGTAGAATAGTATTATTTTGTACTTGTGTTGGATTTCATTGATTATGTATTTGATATATATCTATGTTAAATTATTTTTATTCAATAATAACAACTTAAGAAAATATTACATGCGTATATCATAGTGGTACTTGGCTATATATGACATCTCTATTGAATTCTAACATCCTGGGATTGACAACTACTAGACACTGGCTGCTAAGATGATTTAAACTTTATTCGTTACTTCAACCTCCATAAAGTCATACTAAAAGGGAATTTTGAAGTTGTCATTCGCTTGCTACTCAAAGGAATAGAGACAAATGAAATTGAAGGCCGTTAGTGATATGATGTTTGGTATGGTAAAAATATGATGTTTGGTATGAGGTCTCATGTTTGACAAAATAATTTGATGAAATCATATCACTGTCATATCATGACATTATAATTATGATATAGTGATAATATTATGATATGATTTGAGATCTTATCTTTTGTAAAATAAATTGATAACACCCTATTATTGTGATATCATAATATTAATAGGATGATAAGATATTGGTATGATATAGTGATAATATTATGATATGATTTGAGATCTTATCTTTTTTAAAATAAATTGATAACACCCTATTATTGTGATATCATAATATTAATAGGATGATAAGATATTGGTATGATGTGAAAACAATGTGGAATTTTACAATGCTTTAACGCATTGGTGCTTTAGTTTTTGCATTTATGGTACAACTCGAAGTTGTACTTTTGACGTTATGGTATAACTTTCAGTTGTACGTATACTCTTTTGTAAAATTCCTTTATGGAACAAACTAAAATCATAGCTTTATGTTACGGTACAACTTTAAATTGTACCACAACATAAAGGTCAAATTCCCTTATGATACAACTTCAATTTGTACCTTTAACATGATGGTACAATTTTAAGTTGTATTTTAAAGCACCGATGCTTTAAAGCATAGAAGAATTGATCGAAAACAGTTGCATATTTAACTATGTAGAGATTGGTTGTGGTCGTTACTCGTTGACGTGGATCGTGGACCAGTTTTACAGAGGACGATGAAGCTTGCATCATCTATCTTCTATATATATATCTATCTTCTATATAATATAATAAGTACTTTCCAAATAAACACTTCACAAATTCAAATTTCCTCTCCTCTCAGACTTCCACGACAGCCTTGATTTTTCATGTCACTTTTATTTGTTTTATTTTTTATATTTTAAACTCGACACTAACAAAAACATAAATAAGGGACTATGACAACACCCCTTGTGTTGTTATTGTAACAACACTAGTCTCCAACCAATAGGAAGCTAGGGTTGTGATGACTTTTTATTAGCTGACTTGACTTAGTGTAAAATCAAAGCAGGGGTATATGATAACATCATATTTGCACATGTTTGCACCCTCGTTTCTTGATCATTTTGGCTTGAGTTTTTGCTTTCTTGGACTATTTTACGCTAGGTTGTGTTCCTTTGTCACATTTCAGGTCCTAGCATGTAAACTGAAGCATAGGCGCAAGTTTCAAGTCAATCAGAGATCATTTGGCAATTCGCGAGAAGAAACACGAGCATGACCTGGGGAATAATAGACTTATACCTCATATTATGGAAAAATAATCAATTAATTTTGCCATGAAAAGAAAGAGGACGAGACTACGAGCGTTTGAGATCAAACGGCAACTAATTTGGAGTCCGGACGAGGGAGAAACGAAGCATTAAACAGGGGCGGAGGAAGAATTACGGGCAGACCCTGACCAATTACGGTCGTAATTGCTCCTGTCTTGCCCGTAAATGCAATGCCGAGTCTAATTCTTCAGAATTCCTGTCGCAGAGACAATTACGGGCAAGGGTCAAAGTAACTACGGTCGTACTTCCATAATTACTGACAGTAATTGGGTAATTACGACCGTAAATCCCTTCCTTAGAGTTAAGTAAAACGCGCGTTTTGGGCGATTTACGGGCAGACCATGATTACGACCGTAATTCACCCCGTAATTCGCCCAGAATCGGGTTTTTGAGGCAGATTCGAGCCAAAGGAGAGGGAATCGACTTTTTGGAGCTAAAACAGAGCCCTACAGAGAGAAAGTGCGAAGAACACCTCCTAAGAGTGGTTTTGGAATTGGGTTTCATCAACCAAGCTTGGAAATCATCCTTGGAGTGAAGATTGACATCCCAGAGCAGATTCTTCCCATCTTGATGAGTATGACTACTTTGTTTGTTGTTTTCCTCTCTCTCTCTCTGGAGTAGAACCCTCTCTCACTTGGGTATGAAGAACCCTAGTTCCATGTGTTAGGGATCTTGATTGTAATGACTTGGGATTGTTATATTGTTTGGTTTTAATCGAATGATGCATGATTCATTGAATCAATTGAAGCTGATCATCTTTTCTTGATTTCTGCTGCAACCTGAGATAGATAGAATCTGATTAGGTTGTTAGAGCTTCATCATTCGGTAGTGGTAGATTGGTTATACGAGAGTTAATCAATCTACTGCTTTGTACTGGAACCCAATTCCAGTAGTGGAGTTCTGTGCTTTTTGCCTCAGCTTTCTATCCCGATGAAGACTAGTCGTCTGCCGGGTAGTTGGACTGAGAGGGCTTAGTCAACTGAAGAGATTCCAAGCTACTGTCGGATCTTCCGCAGTTTAATCAACAGTAAATCAACCCAGGGTAATTACAACGACATTCGCGAGTGACTCTTCCTTTACTTTAGAAAACCGAATCTTTTCCTGCTTTCTTACTACTTTTAATTAAAACGACAATCCATCGACTTAGTTGGCTAGATAATAGATATTCTCGGAGTAGGCAGTAGATCTAGACCCCGGGTTGATAATTAGAACTTGCCACTTTACTCCATTCCCAGACTGCGATTACACTTGGTCGCAGTTTGGTGTTGTGTCGTAGCGTGTCAGTATAATTGTCATTATGAAAAATATGTTTAAATAATAATAAAAAATAAAAAATAAATTTTTTTCTGCACAAATTTTGGTCACCGGAAATTGGTCACCGGTCAACGAAATATAGTCTTTGTCGCCGGAATATGCTATTTTGTCATTGGAATATGCTTACCGTCACCGGAATATGCTCACTGTGGTCGGAATATGCTTACCGACGTCAGAATCTAGTCATCGAGACCGGAATATGCCTATCGGCGTCGAAATCTGCTCACTGACGGTCATCGAAGTTTGGTCCACAGTCAACGACCACCGGATGTTATGGTCTGCATTGTGAGATTTATGGTTTGGTTGCTCATATTTTTGTATGTCTTTTGTGGTTTGCTTTATCGTGTTTGTGATTTGCATTAAGAAGTTTCTGGTTTGCTTTCAAAAATTTTGTGGTTTGCATTGTGAGGTTTCTGGTTTGTTTTAATATATTTTTTGTTTGCATTAGAAGTTTCTGGTTTGCTTTTGTGGTTTGCATTAGAATGTTTCTGGTGTGCTTTTGAAACTTTGGTGGTTTGCTTTGCGAGGTTTTTGGTTTGTTTTAATAGATTTGTGGTTTGCATTACAAGATTTTTGGTTTGCTTTTGTGGTTTACATTAGAAGGTTTCTGGTGTGCTTTTGAAAATTCTGTGGTTTGGTTTGTGAGGTTTCTGGTTTGTTTTAATAGATTTGTGTTTTGCATTAGGAAGAATCTGGTTGTTTTATGTGGTTTGCTTGTTGTGTTTGTGGTTTGCATTATGTAGTTTTTGGTGTGCTTTTGAAAATTTTATGGTTTGCTTTGTTAGATTTCTGATATGTTTTATTGCATTTATGATTTGTATTAGTAGGTTTCTAGTTTTCTTTAGAACTATGTGTGGTTTGCTTTCGGAATGCAAACCACAAACACTTTTATTAGTGTCTTCTACATGTACTTCTGTAAATATGCAAGAGAGATGATGTCATAAAGATACAAACAAGTAGGCATGCAAGATCGAGCAAAGAACAGTTGGTAACTACCTTTATTAGTGTCTTCTGCAAATTACTTAAACCGGTGTATGGGTTTTAGAAACTACTACACATTACAACATTATGGTTACAAGACAACACCCCCACCAATTTACAAATCTATATTTTAGGATCTATATTTGTCTACAATCTACCAAACAAACTCCACAACTCTCAGGTGGGATTCGTTCGGCTC